ATAGTTTGCTGTCAATAAACAGGAAACTCCCTATGAAGAAACTGAATTTATACAAGGAGATATGATACCTTACCCTTTCCTATCCAGAAATTATGAAATTTTATCCTTGAATTACAAGACTTTCTTCAACTACTTCCATCTCATTTAGGCCACAATATATATATGAAACCTCCGTATATTACTTTATTTAAAACAAAATAAATAGGTATGACGTAATTTATCCAATTATCCAAGTAAATCGGCTTTCCACAATCACTGTTTTCCCGTTGCCTTTGGCTCCTCAGAATCTTGTTTCTTAACCTAGAAACTTTTCTTCCGGAAATTTCAACATTGCCCTTTCTCTAAGCTGAAATGATTCTCTCTGCTTTCACTCAACCGTTTTCGACCGCGTGTTGTGCTCTTCTTCCCCCTCCTTTACTGTCGTATGAATTATATAAACTTCTTTTCCTGTTTTCGCCACTGTGATTTTTTTTTTTTTAGAGTTCGTCATTTGCCAAAACAAAGTTCCTTTTTTCCGCTATCAATGAAATATTGCGTGGCTCGGGCAATGCTGTTGATGCGGGGTGGGGAATTTGAAAGCCATGTCCTCAAAGCTCTCCAGAATTATCTCAGCAGAACGAAATGCACGATTTCACGGGACAGTGAGTGTCAGGTAATGATAAAACATCAATTGCATGCGAACGTGAATGAAAAGCTTTATTTTGTTCTAAGGTCTCATCCGATAAATCCGGCTATACGTTATATAATATTTGTTCTCTCACACCCACTGTATACTCCGTGTATATTATAGTCAGTTTCAGAAAAGGATATTTGCAATTATTCATGAATTTATTTACTGCAATTCCGCTAATTTAAGAGTGCGCTAGGAAGTGAACTCAAACCCAACTCATCATACACTCACCTCAAACCCAACCCATCCCCTTTGTTACAACAAAATTCGAGTGCGCTAATATAAGTACGCTTACACTAGCTATTGATAAAAAGCAGAACTCGATGAATCACGTTTTGAACAAGCGCAATATTGGTAGAATTTCATTGTTCTGTTTCGTTGTTGAGGACAGAGTTCGACGGAAACAAATACATGCAGAGAGTTAGTATGTGCATAAGGATAAACATCGCCATTCCCTTGGCCAAGTTGTATGTGAGGCATTGCCTATAATTATAAGCGAGCGCACATAGTTCGGTAACCTTTGTGTTGATAGTGTAGATCTCGGGCGCCTGCGGCGCCCCAGCTAAGGAATAAATGAAACTAAGAAATAAATGGTGGTTATAAAAAATAGTATCTTCATTAAGAAAACCTGCCAGATATTTCATGCGGGCCATTTTGTTGTTACTAATTTACTATTATTTTAACACCTTTGTCAATATATCGCCTGATCCCTTTTAGCATCAAAATTTGTCAAGACAAAATGACAGAAATAGAATCTACTGTGCAAAGTAAATATTTGTTAAAAAGGCAAAGTATTGCAATGCAATCCATAGTCCCTCACCGATAAGAATTGCTATATTTAACAAGCAGTACACTTTTAATTATGTCAGGAAGCATAGGCCACAGTGAGGTTATAGTGATCTACTTCACTCCGCCATCCCAAGATGTCCTTATTCATCAAATCAGGTTAAACAGGGTGAAATAGTCAAAGGTCAAGTCATTGATCACAATAACCTAATTCTGTACTCTCTGCCATCCCAAGATGCCCTTGTACACCAAATCTAGTTACTCCAGGTAAAAAAGTATACAAGATATGCCCCGGACAAACATTTTCAAAAGTAAAGGTCAAAGGTCAAATCATACGTAACAGTAACCTAAACCTTGCACACCAAATTTGGTTACTGCATGTGAAATAGTATAGAAGATATGCCAAACGTTTCCAAATTTAAAGGGCAAAGGTCAAAACATAGGTCACAGTGAGGTCATACAACTGGAGTGTGACCTTCTTCTTGCACTGAGCACGCCGCCATCCAAAGCTGTCATTGTTCACCTAATCTGGTACCCCAGGTGAAATAGTATAGAACATATGTCCCTGACAAACTTATCTTTTTCTGACGGACGGACAGACGGGGTGCAACGGACCGCTCTGTTAGTTGTGGCGACTGTTTAGATCCCTGATGTACACGAGAGTACTATGTACGTGTGTGTGAAAGGGTTGGAGGAATGAAACACTGCTGGGGTGGGTCACCTTGAATACAGTATATAATAGGCGTTTGTACAAAATACAATCTAATCATCTCTCTCTCTATATATATAACTAGATTTGAGTGCATACATACTATACAGCATTACAACAAAACGTGTTTAAATGTGTATCATACGGTAAACTAGTAATTGGACCAAAAAACCATACCCGAGGTACGTGTCAGCGATGGGGCTGTAGGTTTGTGTACTAGGCACGTCGAAACCAGTATGTGCCCTTCATGGCATGTAATATAGCAGATTTACACTACTTAAAATCAAGTACAATCTACATAGAAAGATAACATATTCTTTCCAGGACTTACCACACAACTGCTTATCTGGTGCGGGGTCACCATTCCAGATTTCCATTTTTTAACATATTTTGAGTGAACGTACCACGTGAAGTTAACCAAAAATAGTCTCTGCTAATATTCCCCACGTTCGTTATCGATGTCGAATTATACGTCGGTATTCTCAGAGACATATAAAGTATATACTTCTCTGGTATTCTCTATCTCTTTTCTAAACCTCAGCAGATTTGATAATTTTTATCTATTATACTTTTAGAAATGTATAAACTGACAAGAAAAAGATCATATTTCTTTTGAGAAGTATATTAATTCATAAAGTAAGTTCAGGTGCTGTATTTCTACATACGAATACAAATGTGTCCTGTGGCCATTACGGGCCACTGAGATCACAGGTACGAAAGCCTATCATGATTCACTAACCTATTCATTGATCAATTAGGGTCAACTATCCACCTTCATGTTACTTTCAGGGTCAAATCTACCACGCAAGACTGCGTATGTCAAGTAGCTCCCTAAAATAACACCTTTTTCTACAAAAACATCATACCATCCGTGAATTGTTCCCGTGGTGCTATTGAGACCTCAACCCATTATTTGCTAAAATGTAATAAATATACAGCACTTAGACTATGGCAAGCCAACTTAACATTTATTCAAGGAGCAATGTCGATCCTGTATTTCAAAAAAAAAAGATATCTTATATAGCATATGAGATATCTTATATACTTTATCAGATATCTTATATCGTATATAAGATATCTCATATAGTATATGAGATATCTTATATACTATATGAGATATCTTATATAGAAATTAAATGAGATGCTATATAAGATATCTTATATCGTATATAAGATATCTCATTTAATTTTCTATATAAGATATCTTATATAACATATAAGATATCTCATATAGCTATATAAGATATTTATATCGTATATAAGATATATTATATAATATATGAGATATCTTATATACTATATAAGATATCTCATATCGTATATGAAATATCTTATTTAATGTATAAGATATTTTATATCCTATATGAGATATCTCATATAGAAATTAAATGAGATATCTTACATAAGTATATAAGATATCATATTTACTATATAAGATATCTTATATCGCATATAAGATATCTCATATAGTATATGAGATATCTTATATAGTATATGAGATATCTTATATAATTTATAAGTTATCTTATATACTATATGAGATATCTTATATAGAAATTAAATGAGATACTTTATAAGATATCTTATATGATATATAAGATATCTTATATCGTATATAAGATATATCATTTAATTTTATATATAAGATATCTTAAATAATATATAAGATATCTGATATAGCTATATAAGATATATTATATCGTATATAAGATATATTATATACTATATGAGATCTTTTATATACTGTATAAGCTATCTTATATCCTATATGAGATATCTCATATAGAAATTAAATGAGATATCTTATATAAGTATATAAGATATCATATTTACTATATAAGATATCTTATATCGCATATAAGATATCCCATTTAATTTTCTATATAAGATATCTTATATAATTGAAATCTCGTTGCTATATAAGATATCTGATAAAGAATGAGATTTCGTGGCATTAAAAACCAGAAACTAATTTCGCCCTCGAGAATCATTCGGAGCACATTCAGGATTGCATTGGGCGCAATGGCGGAGAGGGATGGTACGGATGCTATATTTTCCCTAGGCCTAGCTCGCCTTGTCTCTCTTATAGCGGCCAAAGCAGAGACTGCCATTTCCCGCACTCTTGAAGTGGGCTCAGACATAATGGCGGCGACAGGAACACATGCTGTTACAACAAGCCTACTGTCCCTACGTAGATCCTCGAGATATTCCGGACGGGGAGACTTCATTTTCGACATTTTGTAAACATCTCGTTCCTATATAAGATATCTTATTAAGTAACGAGACTTTAATTATATAAGATATCTTATATAGCTATATGAGATATCTTACATATTATATAAGATATCTTATATAGAAAATTAAATGAGATATCTTATATACGATATAAGATATCTTATATATCATATAAGATATCTTATATAGCATCTCATTTAATTTCTATATAAAATATCTCATATAGTACATTATATATATAAGATATCTCATATACTATATGAGATATCTTATATACGATATAAGATGTCTTATATAGTATATAAGATATCTCATATGCTATATAAGATATCTTACATAATTCGATGAAATACAGGATCGACATTGCTCCTTGAATAAATGTTAAGTTGGCTTGCCATACTTAGACAGTTTCATATTCTGAGTTTGCCGTATCAACTATCTACTAATCTTTTACTCTTTGGTGATGACTCTCTAACTCATCAAGAAATCACTACAATTTTTCTAGCCGTCTAAACTATCGTTGTTCTGTGAAAGGTCCGCTGATTTTTTTTTGTCAGCGACTGGATTATATATAGACACAATACTATACCGGTAACAATTACTATATATTACTTTAATTAAATTTCTTTTTGACTAATTTCCACTTCGGCACGGAAGAGGCATAACTTATTTAGATTCCCTAGCTATGTCAACAACCTAAGCTTATCTAGGTCTTTGACGACAAATCATGCTTATGGTTCGTAATACTGGAATGTAAAACGTTTTTTTCTCAATTTGTGACCAATTTTAAAATTATTCTTTTATTTTAATTTTGATTTTTATATCAGTGAAGAAAAAGAATTTTGGTGAAATGCTGATAACTTGATATTGTTTGTAACACGTTTTTTCATTGGTTTGTGTTTACAGTCAATCAAAGTGATAATAAATATGAACCTATTTTGCAGACGTTGTACACAACGTCAAACTTAAATGATGGTCTGCTTCCATGAATTTTGACGTTGGAAATCCGAACATAAAATTCAATTTTAGAACAGATGCTATTGAAATAATCCCGACGACTAGTAAAGATCTAGACATGACCCTGTTTGGTAATTGTTTAAGAGAATGAATATGAATCATGCGCCTGAGGAACTTAGAACACGGCCTTTGACTGATCAACATAAAAGCCGTCTCGCCATTCACATAAAAAAATATGATTGTTGTCGAAAAAAAAGGACACGTATTTTGTGTTTTTTTAGTTTTCTTTTCTGGTATCAAAAATAAATTATAAGGATTAGACAAGATTATAAATTGGTCTATTGATGTATAGACCGTAAACCGCAGTACACTCTGAATAAACTTCACTCTAGGTAGTACACTCCAGTGTTGGGTCTATACAACAATAGACCCATGTTTTATCTTGTCCAATCCTCAATTAAAAGAAAAAAATAAGGTGTATACAATCAAAATATATATGGACGCAGCAATATATATACTTTACAAGTAGTTCTTTCATAACATATGATGCATGTACATCATCGGCCGGTTACCCTAAGTATTTAACAAGTTCACAATTTTATAGACAGGACTCCAACCAATTGCACGAGCAACGAATAAATATGAGACGAATTCCCGGATAAAGTCTTTCTGTTGTATATAAAGTCTGAATTGAAATAATGGAAATTACATGTAAAATAGGGGAATAAATTCGTGCAAATTTCTGTTTTTAATTCTTGTACCAACTTCACAAAATAAGCAAACATTGGCACCATGTAAATATTAACCGTTCTGCAATAAGATAAACTTATTGTTCTAACATAACTTTACCTGTTTAAATATTAAACACACTAATGCCTGTGACTCAAACACGTACGTGTGTCCAAATTCCATGACGCATATTTGACTCAGAAAATGTAGTGTATATGGATCGAATGTAAATAGTGTTGAAATCTTACACCATACGTTCCGCTTAAATGACTCTGATCAGGTCAGTCTTTAAAATATTACAGGCACATTATTAATCTTACCAAGTCTGGATCCATAGTCCGATGGCACACCCACTTATTGGTTATCTTACTTGGTAAAATCTATAGGACCATGATGCACATGCATTCCTGTCAAACTTACCAGTCGAGGTCCATTGACCAATGACGCACGTGCTTTTCTGTTAGTCCTACGAGTTGAGTGCCATAAAACTTTGACATACGTGTTTTTCAAATAACTGTCAAAAAAAAATAAAAAAAATCGCGATTATGGAATGACCGGGTTTTAAAGCATTAGGTATATAATTTCATTACCGATTGAGGTCGACCGTAAATCCATCATGTTCTTTCCTTTCAATCATACAAGATATCTTTCCCCTTCCTGTAAATCTAAGGAGTTGAGATCCGCGAGATATGGCCTACCTGCTGTTCCGTTAATCAGCGGAGATCCATTGGGCCATGACAAACATGTTTTCCACCAGGGGATATGTGCCAAGCTGCAATATCACGATAAACGCGCCTGTACTTTTCAGGGTAGTGAAGTCTTTCACATATCCTACAAAATGCTGAATTCCATTCCTTGTACATATCTTCAGTATGGTAGTGTTGTTTCCATTGAAAATAATCTAAATAGGCTGTTTTGTTGGCAGACAACATCTTCATGTGCTGGGCTAGCTCCTTAACAGATCCGTAGTTGCTTGTGTGGATGTAGGAATGAGGTGGATGAAAAATGGAAGCATTGCTTCCATCTCGTATCACTGGTATGATAGGATGTTGCATAATCCGGTGAAGAGATTTTTCTGTGGTATAATCCATGCAGAGGGAATTTTCTAACGACAGAAAAAACTTATATTGTGATAGAACAGTCCCAAAACAATCGGGTTTCAATTCCCCCGATACGTTAAATGATGCCTTGTAGCGATCTTCATTTCCACAATCTTTTAAAGTTTTGGTTCCACATAAACCAAACACATCTACTTGTATTCCATATGACTGTAACAATTTAATAAATTGCAACCTTTTGCCAACAGTGGGACAATGACTTATAAAAACAACAGCTGTCTTGTTTTTCTTTGCAAAAATATCGTCCAGATCCTTCTGGCTGTATTTACGTTTGTTGCCTCTCCTGAAATAACCATGTGCAACAGGGAAATCTGCATCACGCCGATATGTCATTGTCCAATTCACTTTATTTTTAAGATCATAAAAACATTTTGTTCGAAAATAATAGTTTGGTGTTTCAAATTCAACAAATATCCACACTTGTCCCAGAGGTTTGATCGGAGGACAATAACTCATGTCTCTTGGCTTAAACATAATTGCATCGATTTTTTCAATTGGGATTTTTCCTTTTGTGACAATGCATTCAGATACGGGACAACCTTCAAATTTCTTCGACGTTCCCCAAGTTCCTGAAATCCAATCATTGAACACGTGATAAAACTGGGGATTATAGAAATATATATTTTTTATTTGTTTTCCAGTTGTGTTTGTCATGTTTCGAAGTGTAATTGTCCAATTAGTCGCATCGGTGCTATGTGACGGATATTCGTTTGAGAATTCTTTGACAGGTGCTACATGTATTAACGTGTTAATAAAATACTGGCTGTAATAAAGGGATATTCCAATCATGTTGGATAAAACGCAAATCGCAGTCAGTCGGCAAAACCATTTGGCTTCCAGCTTCATCTTATCTGAAAAAGAGACAAAATACTTTTCAAAATTTTGTTTTCAAATGAAAGTTGCTTTAAATCATATTTTCAATACAAGTTGTGTCCATATATCTACATAAGGGAAGCTAGATGTCGATGATTATATTTCAGATATATCGCGTTACCCTATTTATAGCACAGAGAGTCTCTCATAGCATACGAAACAAACGCACCCTTAAAGACCACCGTGCCTCATTTAAAAACTTAATTTTTGTAAAAGTACTGTTGCTTTCGGCTTTACTATAGCTTTAATAAATAAAAAAAACATACCTTTCTGGACTTTCATAAAAAAATGTATAATGAAGACGAAATAAACAAAATGTAATCATAACACTGATCTGAATGTAAACATTAGGCTTGGCTGGACCAGGATTCGAACCCTATACTTCCTACTGTTATATTATCGCTCTAATCAATAGAGCTACCTAGTCAACAGAAGTGCCCAACTGTGCTACAGTTATATCAAAACGGAAGTTAAGGTGCGGTAACCGCATATACGAAAAATTTCAGTGCAGAGGGACAGGGATACTTAAAGTATCCTCATATTGCTTAGCCAATGTTTTTTTTAAACCGTGACATGATAAAAAGTAATTTGACTTTCAGCGCTTAAAGATGTTGGGAGATTTTGTTGTTATTATCTACGTTCACTTAGCTATACTAAGTTGTTATAAGCTAAATTAACTTTTAGGCTTCATATCGTTAGGCTAAATCTATGTTATAGGTTTGGCATTGTTTGGCTAATCATTCTTTCATAGACTTCACGTTGTTAGACTAAACCTACCTTATACGCTTTCCATTGTTAGGCTTAACCTTCCAACTAGGCTTTCCATTGTTAGGCTTAACCTACCAACTAGGCTTTCCATTGTTAGGCTTAACCTACCAACTCGGCTTTCCATTGTTAGGCTTAACCTACCAACTAGGCTTTCCACTGTTAGGCCTAACCTACCAACTAGGCTTTCCATTTTTGGCTGAACTTACTTACTATGCTTTCCTGTGTAAGGCAAAACATACCTTATAGGCTTTCCATTGTTAGGCTAAACATACATGTACCTACTAGACTTTCCATTGTTTGGCTTAACCTACCAACTAGGCTTTCCATTGTTAGGCTTAACTTACCTACTATGCCTTCCATTGTTAGGCTAAACCTACCAATTAGGCTTTACATTGTAAGGCTGAACCTACATATTAGGCTTTCCATTGTTAGGCTAAACCTACCTACTAGGCTTTCCATTGTTAGGCTTAACCTACCAACTAGGCTTTCCATTGTAAGGCTAAACATACATGTACCTACTAGGCTTTCCATTGTCAGGATAAACCTACCAACACGGCTTTCCATTGTAAGGCTAAATTTACCTACCAGGCTTCCTTTGTTAGGTTAAATCTACCAACTAGGCTTGCATTGTAAGGCATAATTTATTAACTAGGTTATTCATTGTTAGGCTAAACCTTCCTACTAGGCTATCCATTGTTAGGCTGAACCTACCAACTAGAATTTCCATTGTTAGGTTGAACTTACCTACTAGGCTTTCCATTGTTAGGCTAAACCTACCAACTAGGCTTTCATTGTTAGGCTGAACCTACCTACTAGGCTCTTCATTGTTAGGCTTAACCTACTAGCTAGGCTTTCCATTGTAAGGCTTAACTTACCTACTATGCATTCCATTGTTAGGCTAAACATACATGTACCTACTGGGCTTTCCATTGTAAGGCTGAACCTACCAACTAGGCTTTCTATTTTTAGGCTTAACTTACCAACTATGCTTTCCATTGTTAGGCTAAACCTACCAACTAGGCTTTCCAATGTTAGGATGAACCTACCGACTAGGTTTGCCATTTTTAGGTTAAACCTACCTATCAGGCTTTCCATTGATAGGCTTAACCTACCAATTAGGCTTTCCATTTTTAGGCTTAACCTTCCTACTAGGCTTTCAATTGTTATGCTAAACCTACCAACTAGGCTTTCCATTGTGAGGCTAAACCAACCTACTAGGCTTTCCATTGTTATGCTTAATTTATCAACTAGGTTATCCATTGTTAGGCTAAAAATACCTGCCAAATAGGCTTTCCATTGTTTGGCTTAACCTACCTGCTAGGCTTTCCATTGTTAAACAATTTAAAGTCTAAATAACTGTTAGGTTAGGGGTTTTATTCTAAAATGAGAATGGGAGGTTCGTAAAATGTGAAATCTAACAGACCGGAGAATCTGCACACATTTTGATGGACGCGCAAAGGATTATAGGATACGTGACCTATTGGGAAACCAAGCTGCTTAGCCGTAGCGCGGTATTCTTAGCTTTATTATCACCGACTGTTGAAAATTTCAGAATACCACTTTTAAGCAGCGATGATACAGTCCAAGCATGCGAAATCGGACATTTCAAATACAATATTTAGAACTTCCTAAGCTAATGCGATGATATTTTCCTTCGCAGTTTGGAAAGAATATAAGCATTTCTGAGATAATTAAATGCAGACTTACTTGATAATAGAATATTGCTTTTTGCTTTTGTTACTCTCGCCGTAGTATTTATCGGGATTTTTTTTTAAAATACGATCCACCAGTCTATAAAAATGTATGACTACTTGTCATTAGTAGAAACAAAATGGTGGAAATCAGTATCTGACTAATGGTGGACTGCAGGCGAAACTCATTGCCCTTTATTCTAGGTCATATACGTAATCACAACAGTATGGTTCAATATAGGTACTGCATCCCAACTAATACTTATATAGATATACGTGTATACTCACAGAAGTAATATTTATAGCAACTGAACGGGAAAGGGAATTCACTAAGAAGTTAATTTATAAGTTCCATGGTTTTATATTATATTTTACTTGATACACAAACAATGTACGTATTAAATGTATCGCAATGTTTCAAGAACGACAGGTCCCCCTTTGTCAAGCTATGACTGAGTGAGCGAGTTGTATTATTTACCTGTACAACGATGTGACGAAATTGTATTTTTCTTGTGTTGCTCGACCCAAGACGTTTCGCCTTTCAGTAGAGATTGTATAAACACTGTGTATAATAGGGTCCGTCTTTATCTAACGAAAATATAATTCCATTCAGTATCACTAGTGAATATATTTCATCACTGCTCTAAAATATGACGTTTTATGACTGGATATTTTCGGAAACTCCGAATTAGAAAACATTTATGATTATTCTATTTTGTTTCGCATGTGTTACCCCTTTAGCGCTTTCAGTACATTGATTACCCCTTGATGTCAATTTACCCCATTTGAATCGATGTTGCTTATTTTGAAATATGACATGGTTGCTTCATTATTTTCGTATTTATGTTGTGCTATCGATTCTGTTTTGTGTGCTTAATTGATTACCGTGTAAATAATGTAGTGTCAGCTGGTGTGATTGTTTGTGTGCATTGGAGCCAATCGAACATTTGTATTTGTATAAAGGACATATGTTATTTAAACATAAAGATATGGTTCATCAGAGACGACCTTGATTATCGAACAGATATTGATACCGCCTCGATTGTATGGAATTCAATTCAAAATATTTGTGGTGTAACAAAACCACGCCATATTGCCAACACAATACAATTGTTTGGAAGATAATAAAGCGACCCCTTACAGAACAGAGACGTATATACATGTCTTATATGCGTCTCTGTACAGAAGAATACGTGCTGGTTTTTAGAATCTGTAAGCAGTATCAATGTTTCTAATATTGTTATGCATTAAATTGACTTAATAGTATTACAAGCCAATATAATGTGTATTCCATATTAGCACGATTGAGTCTGTATTTCATAAAATTGTATGATGTATCTTTCAAAGAATATATGAAATATCTTATAATGAATATAAAATCACAAATACTAGGTTTATATAGAATATCTTGACATTTCGGAAAATAACGTTTTCATAAAATTGTATGATATATCTTCTAAAGAATATGTGATTACTTATAATGAATATCAGACCACATAAACTAGGTCTATACAAAAAAAAATCACTATTTTTGACGTCTTAAGTATTTGTACTCCCTTTATGACGTCACAAAAAACTTCAAATCGCTTGAAGAGCCCAAAGATAGGAGAAAGCGCTAGCGAAATGTAGTCTTAGTGTTTTGTTTGATATATATATTGTTATCGTCACATGGATATTTGAAACTCTTAACTGCAAAAATATCTTATATAAATGACATTTCGTTACTATAATATATATAACAAAATCTCGTTCATATATACAGAAAGATATCCAATATAGGAATTATATTACAATTTTCGATTTAATTTAATCATCTCGACCGTAAAGACGACTTACCGGTTGATAACAGTACGGCTTCATATACACTGTGTACGATAGTAAAGCGTGTCCTCTAAAAGAGTTATACAAATAGAGATTAATTATTGTTTTTTATAGAAAGGTATCATTATCATGTTTTATCACATAATTCACTTTCTTAAGTTATCAAAAAAATTAGGTTTTATTCCTGTACATTGTCAGATTTTTAAAATCCTTGACAAACAATATATAACAACCTGAAAAATGATGTCGGTCAAATACGACATAAAACACATGGAACGAGTTTTTGGGCCGTGAAACGCTCCTTTTATGTTTCTGTTGGAAGAAATATCCCCCAGTGGCCCCACACGTCCTTAAAAGACCTTAGAACATTAAGCAAAATAAATCTTAACAATGAGCTCCAGTGGCCTACAGATGAAGTTTAATATCTATGAAAGTCACTGTCTCAGGTTCTCTTAATTTTATCTGGCGTTTTTTACAATTATGATACAGTTGATATGTATCACTGCGCTGTGTAAATGCGTGATAAGAACAAGTGCCGAAACAAATTGTAACTAAATAATTAAATATACATTAAACAATCGCAACATTTTAATTTTTGAAATAAAGCTACGTTTATATGTAATCGTTCAACTTTATGTCCTTATGTTAAAAAGATAATTGATTTTTTTATCTAAATTTTATCATTACAAAGTACGTAT